TGCTGAACCCTGGCTCTTCTGTCTCCCACCCAGGCTGCCAACAACCTCATAGTCCTGGGGCGCGAAGAAGCAGGTGCTGAGAGGATTTTCCAGAACAATGGGGTCAGTTTGCTGCTGCAGCTGATAGAGACCAAAAATCCTGAGCTGATCCTGGCAGCTGTGAGGACACTTTCAGGCATGTGCACAGGACATAAGGCTCGGGTAAGTGATGGGGTGCTCAGGACCTTTGCTGCTATTGCCTTGCACCTGGGGGAGTGGAAAATTGCAATAGTGCCTAATGTTTGTGAGAAGTAGGGGACAATTAAATACTACCAATAAAATAGGGGAGCCTTGTTCCCCTGGCTAACAGCTGCCCTGCTCTCTCCTGCCTGGGCCAGGCCACTGCCATCCTCCACTACCTGGGCATCGACAGCATCTGCACGTGGATGGCAGTAGACAATGAAGAAATCTCCCTAGCTGTCTGCAACCTCCTGCAGACCATCACAGACTGCTTGCTGGGCCAGGGGAAAGAGGAGCACCATGGGAAGGAGGAGGCTGTTGTGCTGGGTAAGGGGGCACAGCCTGGGGACCCTTCAGTCTTGCTGCAGGGGATGGGGGGAGAGCAGGCAGGGCTCTGCTCCTGGGATGTCTCCCCTTTTCTTGTTGTTTGGTGAAGTGGGGACTTTACTCCTCAGCTGTTCAGGGTAACAACCTGCACACAGCTCTTCTCCTTATGGTACTAACTTAAATACCTACATTCCAGCCACACCATGGCTTTGAATGGTTTTCACTGGGTGCACCTGCTTTCTAAGCTAGTTTCTTGTAACTGGCTGCTCCTGCCTTGCTTCTGTATAGATACCAAGAAGGACCTAAGGATGATCACAACGCGCTTGCTGGACATGCTGGTCAGTAAGACTGTATCTGGGCAGGGACGAGACCGAGCTCTAAACCTCCTCAACAAGAATATACCAAGGAAAGACCTGAAAGACCATGACAACAGCAGGTCCATATTTGTCATTGACAATGGTGAGTTCTTCCCCTCCATCCCAGTTCTGGTTTGGGAGATGTGGAGCTGTGTATTCTTGCCTGAATACCTGTAGCACTGATCCTCCCTACTAAATGACTTCTTTCTGCCTTTTATTTTTTGTGCATGCAGTCCTGGAGCAAAGTTAGACTTAATAGCAGGGAACAGCTTAGGAGTAAGAGAACAAAAATGTGTATGAGAACAAGAATTTTCCAGTTTCTAAATGACTGTCTTAACTTCTCTGATTAATTTAGTCCTATCTATTGCTAATGTTAGGAGGATCTGGCTTAGATAAGTTGTTTAGCTTACACAGGAGGAGATGAGTTTGCTGAATCTAGTCTTTTCTTAAACTGGAAAGGGGTGAGGAATTTCTGCAGGGTGTGTTTTATGCTGATTCCAACCCTATGTGTGTCACCATTTTGGTGGAAGTTATTAAATAACACTTTAGCAAAAGGGGGGGTTAAGACATCCAGAATCACTGGAAAGTCAATTCTCAAAGCCTGCAGCCTCGCAGGTCAGTCCTCTGCTGCCTCCTGACAAAAATAGCTGGGCTCAAGTGCACAGCTCTGTTTATCTTGCTCTGAGAGCTGGGTGAAAGCTCGATGCTGCAAACCTGGTATCTGACCAGCAGAAGCTCCTCCCCACTACATATCTGAGTGCCTCCTTTGTTTAAGGTTTATGTGATTAGGCTGCAAAGTAATTAAAAACCATCCAAGCAGGCTATTTCACTGCAAGAAACCAACACATAGTACCTAGTGCTGTGTACAGACTGTCTCCCTGCTAACAGCCACATCTCCCCATTGTTTCCAGGCTTAAAAAAGATCCTGAAAGTGGTGGGGCAGATTCCTGAGATGCCTGACTGCCTGCCCCTGACAGAGAACACCCAGCTGACAGCCTCTGTCCTCCTCAACAAACTGTACGACGACCTGCGCTGTGACCCAGAGCGGGACAAGTACCGGCTGATCTGTGAGGAGTACATCAAGTGAGTGGGGCAGGAGGGCTTCACCAGGGGCTGGGGCACCTGCAAGCCACCTGGGTGACAAAGTGAGGCCCTGGGAGATAATGATGTGCTTGAGACCCTGCTGGATCCTTCAGCTGGGACCCTCAGGTCCTTATACTGTAGTTCCACCCACCTGATCACAGCCTTGGTGTGAATTTGGGCCAAATAACTTCTGTTCCCAATCTGTGGGAGGATAAAGGGAATGAGACCTGTAAGCAATTGCTGTCCCATGTGTTGACTCCCTCTATTTCATGCAGGAGCAAAATCGACCCACAGAACATGGATAAGACACTCCATGCCATCCAGATAGTGTCTGGAGTTCTGCAAGGGCCCTTTGACTTAGGCAACAAACTGCTTGGCATGAAGGGAGTCATGGAGATGATGGTTGCCCTGTGTGGGTCTGAGAGGGAGATCGACCAGCTGGTGGCAGTGGAAGCTCTCATCCATGCCTCCACCAAGCTGAGCAGAGCCACCTTCATCATCTCCAACGGGGTGACACTCCTGAAGGAAATCTACAAGAAGACTAAGAATGAGAAGATCAAAATCCGAGCCCTGGTGGTAAGGAAGGCAGCCCCCGCCTCATCCCCTGCCACACTCACCACTGTAACCCTGGACCTGGGAGAGGGGGAGGTCCTGGGAACCCTAAGAATATGTTGGGTTCACTCACCTGGCTAGGGAATGGTTCATGGTGCTTCCCCCTGCAAGGGAGGGAGAGATGGCAGGCCAGGAGAACACATGGGTTATGGGTAACTTTGAAGGCAAAACTGGTTAATCTTCCATTAAAAACATCTAAGAAGAGCACAAACCCTCCCCTGGCTGTGCTACAAGCTGTACTGTAGTACTGGGTACTAGAACGTTTCCTCTTTGTTAGGCCTGACTTCAAACTTTAGATGTGGGATTAGGCTGACTTGGGGCAGCAACACTGGAGGGTTATTGAGCCTTTCTCAATGGTGTGTTGTCTTCATCCTCCTCAGGGTCTCTGCAAGCTGGGGTCAGCAGGAGGTACAGATTATGGACTGAGGCAGTTTGCTGAGGGGTCCACTGAGAAGTTGGCCAAGCAGTGCCGCAAGTGAGTGGCTTTACTTTATTCTCCTGTTGTTTCACACTTTACAAAGTACAAGATGGTCCTTTGCCCAGAGACCCTGCCACACTTTGCCTTCACTTGCTGTTGCTGCCTGACAGCTGACAGAGCCCTGGAGCCATTGCACTGGCACCTGGAGCTCTTCTGTGCCTCAAGCTACCACGTTCCTCCTGATGAGCCTTCCCACACACACACTTCCCACGTGAGACACCAGACATGGTGCCTCCCTCTGCCTCATCAAGTGCTACCTGGAACATGCAAAAGTACCTTTTGAAGGTGAATTTACCAGGTGCCTGGGCACAAGTTCTGGCCTGAAACCACCTCAGTATCTGTTTTTCCTCCCTCTTTTCCCAGTCCTGCCTCCCAGGATAGAAATGTGGATGTTCTCTCTTCCAGATGGTTGTGCAACACCAGCATTGATGCCCGCACCAGGAAGTGGGCTGTGGAAGGGATGGCATATCTGACCTTCGATGCAGATGTGAAAGATGACTTTGTTGAAGATGAGCCAGCCCTGCAAGCTATGTTTGAATTAGCCAAGGTCTATCTCCTTGCCTTGTTCCCTCCCTCCTCTGGTAGCATCAATCTCTCAGCTCTCCAGCCCAACTGTCTTCCCAGGCAGGAGGAGCTGTCACCCCAGCCCCTTGCCTCTAGCTTAGCAAAGCTTCAGTTCTGCCTGTGCCATGGACACACCTCAGGGGGCTCATCCTTCTGCTCTCCTCTCACGGCTGGGGAAGGTTGCTCTTCATTTTCAGCAGCTGCATGAAAACCAAAGGCATCGAGGTGTTGACAGCATCTGATTATGTCAAACAGCCTGTTTGACCATAAAAATTTCTGGTTTTCCCTGTCCTAGGCTATAAAACTGAGGATAAGCCTAAGAACACTCCCTCTAGTGCAAAGCACCACAATGGCAGTCCTAAGGGACTCATTCCCCTGCTGTCACTCCTCACCCTCACAGAAGCTTTTCTTCTTCTGTGCAGACAAGTGACAAGACTATTTTGTATTCCGTGGCTTCTGCACTGGTGAACTGCACCAACAGCTATGATACCAAGGAGCTGGTCCCAGAGCTGGTGCAACTGGCAAAGTTCTCCAAGCAGCACGTGCCTGAGGAGCACCCAAAGGTAGGTTGTCTACAGCTGGGGAGCTGGCTTGGATGTGAAGCCTTTCTTTAGTGTGTCCTTGGTCACAGACCTCAGGTTTCCTGTCTCCGAGGCTGAAATTGCTGTGCTGTCCAGCCAGGCTTGGCTGTGGTTGGCAGGATGGCAGCTGCTCAGGGGCTAATCCCCCTGCAATGTCCCCCCTCAGGACAAGAAGGATTTTGTGGTGAAGCGGGTGAAGCGGCTGCTGAAAGCCGGGGTGGTGTCTGCGCTGTCCTGCATGGTGAAGGCAGACAGCGCCCTCCTGACCGACCAGAGCAAGGAGCTCATCGCCAGGTGCCCGGGGGTGACGCCAGCCCCTCTGCCACAGAGATGGGCACGGGGCTGGCTCCTGGCTTCGGGGGGTGGTTCTGCCTGGGGGGAGGTGGAGAGAAGGTCTGCAACCAAAGTTTTTCTTAAGAAATGTCATAAAAGTCCATGTTCCAACCTTGAAGCTGCCTTGCTAGGCTGCAGCTTGAATTTTCAGTCCTCTTTACTGGTTCTGGCTGGAATAGAGGCCTGGAAAAATCTTACTGTGCCATTTGTTGCTATTGAGCTCAACATCTGGAATTTGGTGGATCTGGCAGCCCTGCAAAACCTTAGCCCCCTTCCCTTGGGGTCATTGCCCCTCCATCTGGCTGTTTGACTAAGTGATGCTGTGCTTCTGCAGGGTGTTCCTTGCCTTGTGTGAAGACCCCAAGGACCGCGGGACCATTGTTGCTCAGGGCGGTGGAAAGGTGATCACTTCTTCGTGTGCAGCTGATGCCTCCTGGGGCCTGCCCCGTGCCAACAGGCAGGGGAGGTGTCAGAAAAGCATGTCTTGGTAGCCCCTGGGGCCCAGGCTGGTGCTCCAGCCCATCTCTGCAAACCTCCAAAGAAGCTGTCTTCTTGTGGGCTGCAGTCCAGGCCCATTTCTGCAACAGACACATCTTTGGGATATTTTAAGCTTATTTTAGTACATTAGAGGCAATCCTGTAAATCATCTTAGAGGCACTGAATTCTTTCCTGTATGTCACTAGGCCCTGATACCTCTGGCTGTGGAAGGCACAGAAGTTGGCAAGATAAAGGCTTCTCACGCTCTGGCAAAAATTGCTGCTATCTCCAATCCAGACATGGCCTTCCCAGGGGAGAGGGTGAGCTTAAAAATAAATAAATCTCAGCAATTCCTTTAGCAAATGAAAACTGCCAATATCTGAGAGCTGGGAAAGCAGTGACATGGCTTCTCCTCTCAGGTGTATGAGGTGGTGAGGCCCGCCTGTACATCTTGCTGAACACGGAGAGAGACGGCCTCCAGAATTATGAGGCTCTGTTAGGCCTCACTAACTTTTCAGGAAGAAGTGATAAACTTCGGTGAGTTCAACTGCTTTTTGACCTCCTTTCCTCCCCAGGAGTGAACATGAATTTCAATTCAACCCTTGTCTGGTAGGACTATGAAGACTGGTCAGTTTGAGCTACTTTTGGCAGAGCTGTGAAGGTCTCAGAACTAAAAGATTAATAAAATAGCCAGAAAGGGGAGAGTGGCACATTTTCCTCTAGAAAGAGGAAAGGCATGAACCTAATCTGCAATAGATAAGGAATGAACCACATCTCATCAGCTCCTATGCTGTGGACACTGATTTGTTTCAAGGCTTTTCCTGTCTGCAGTTATTATTTTATAAATGGTTGTTGCTTGTCCTGTTGTGTATTTTATTTGACTGCTCTTCAACACAGGATGAAGATAATCAAAGAGAAGGCACTGCCAGATATTGAAAACTACATGTTTGAGAATCATGACCAACTCCGACAGGCGGCCACGGAGTGCATGTGCAACCTGGTGGTCAACAAGGAGGTAACTCCCTGGACACCTCAGTCCATGAGCCCCTGCAATGAGGTCTAAGTATGTTGTTTCTGGATGTCACAGGGTTGTGGGTTTGGGTTTTTTAGGTTCAGGAGCGGTTTGTGGCTGATGGGAACGACCGGCTGAAGTTGGTGGTGTTGCTGTGTGGGGAGGATGATGAGAAAGTCCAGGTTGCAGCAGCAGGAGCCCTGGCCGTGCTCACAGCAGCACAGAAGAAACTCTGCTCCAAGATGACTGAAGTGGTAGGACCATGAGTCTGTTTGGTGGCAGCACAGAGATGCCCTCGAAGGGGCCTGGCTCAGCCATGAGAACACCTCTCAAAAGGAAGGTGTAGTCCCACCAGTTTGGCAGGGAGGAGCTGAGACCTGGGTGTGCATGCTCCTCGTCCAGCCCTGCACTAAGTAAACCAGCCTGCCTTCCACTAGGCTCCATCTCAGAGCTGGGACTTTTCTGTACAGCTGTTCCTCCAGCTAAGGCCAGGATGCTGTCAAGCAAGGCTAGGAATGCAAACTCTAACTCTACAGACCCTTAAAGCTTTTGATAAATAATCAGAAATCCAAACCTTGTTTCCTTCAGAAATGAGAAGAGCTTGACAGACAACCTACAGATCCCAAAACCTCTCTATTCCCTGCCAGATCTGTAGGTCCTGAGCACTCAGACCCTGTATAGCTGAATATCTGGGAAGAGCCATGGTTCAGGATTCCTGAACCCTGTTGTGTTGGACACTGGGTCTTGTTAGAATACAGATAGTTCATCAAGCAAAAGGAAGAGCTCAGGAGGTTCAGTGGTGGGGAGGGGGTGGTCTGCTTCTGGTCACCTCATGTCAATATTCTGGTCAGATTCTCTGCACAGAGATTATGGTTTCTCCTGCTAAGAAATGCCTTGCCAAACACTCATCCTTGGCTGAGGTAGTCTTCAGATCAATGCTAATGATCTTTCTCCCTTCCTTGAAGACCACCCAGTGGCTTGAAATCCTGCAGAGGCTCTGCTTGCACGACAACATGAAAGTACAGCACCGAGGACTGGTCATTGCTTTCAATCTGATCAGTGCTGACAAAGAGCTGGCAAAGAAGCTGGTGGAGTCGGAGCTGCTGGAGATCCTGACGTATGTTGGCAAGCAGGAAGATGACCCCAAGAAGCAGCATGTCATCAATGCAGCACGAGATTGCCTCACCAGGTGCATGGATTATGGGCTGATCAAACCTCTCTCTCAGGCATGAGGAAATGAAAAGCACCAACAAAGGCTGAGCTGGGGGGAGAAGCTGCAGATATGCTGAAAAGTGAGAGCCATGAGGAAAATAGTCTGGGGACAACTTCAGAGCATCAGAAACTGTATAAGGAAAAGGGGGGCATTTGCCTGGGAAATCTGGAAAGTGTCCATCTGAGTAATTCCCAGATGGTGTAGATCCTTTCCTTGCCCCCATTCAGCTGATAATGATGGAACCTTGAAGGCCCAGCTGTAAAAGTCAGTTGTGTGGGAAATGTGCCATGGACTTTGGAGGGTTAGAAATCTGTTCTGCAACCACCTGCAGCTCCTGGTGCTGCTGGAATTCCAGCAGCTTCCTGCCCTCCCTCCTGCAGTCAGAACACAGGCCGGGTTTTAGCTCTGTGCTCTCCTGTTCATTCAGTGTCTTTAAGCAGCGTGAGGCGGGGGGCGACCTTTCAATAAAATCCTTACTTTCTTCCACGGGGAGCTCCTGTTCTGCTTTCAGACCGAAACGGAGAATCTCAGGCACCTGCTCCTTGCGGCCTCGCACCGCCCCGGGTTTGATCAGCGCCCGGGCCCGGCGGGGGTGCGGCTGGGGGGGGAGACCGG